AAGTACAGAACACACACACACACACACACACACACACACACACACACACACACACAAACATAAACACTTACCATTACAGACCAGTGGCTGACCCTGCCAACTTCCTGCCTGGCAAACTAAATTGTTGACTCCAGCTATAGCCACACCCCCAGTCTCACAGGAATATGTGACTGTGCTGCCATCTATGAATGGTTCAGTGGCAATCTGTATGGTGCCTGGGTTTGAAGGTGGAGTAGGACATGCACCTGGGGATCAAAGAGTTAACTTTGGATGTTAAAGGGTTAAAATGGTCAGAGATTTGACATGTGATTTTATATATTACTGAATCAATAGAAAATTAGTTTCAGCTGCTGTTCATTGTTTTTCTATATCAATCATGATTTCAAAATCAATAAAAATTGTTACTCTCACAAGTTCCAAATGAAATGCTACTTACGTTGACACTGAATATAATTCCCAACAAACACTCCATTTTGACATGTCAGGAAGTCACCACCAGACACTTTGACATAGTCGTCATGGCATCTGTAAGTAACCCTAGCTCCAGTGGCATATGGGCCATTTGCTGGGGAGTAGTCTGCATGGTTTAGAGCAGGGGGGTTTTGCTGGCAACCACCTGTAAATACGTCAAAAAATTAAATAAATATTTCCTTTATTATGATAGTTTGTTTGAGATAAAGAATTATCAGGGTTATAAGATATCACTGATGGGGTATTTTGGGTATAATGCACTTTTTGAGTATACTTAGAGTATACTGTTTTCTGACGTGAAAAATTTAGAAAATACTTCTTATCCTGAGCTAAACAGACAACAGGAGCAGACAGACAAAGAATGGTAGAAAAACTGTAAATACTGATGAAAATAACAGTTGCATTTAACCCTTGCATCTCATTCCTCTTAACCTGGTAAAATCAAAAAGGTTGACATAAAACAAATCAAAATGACACATAAAATTTAAAAAATATTCATAAAAGGCAGCCATATGTCCAAACCGAGACTTCCTTACTTTCACAGGCCAGTGGCTCCCCCTGGAACTCTCCATTGGTACAGACCAAGGTGTGGTTCCCCCGGTCCTCTATATGGTTAGGTAGACACACGTATATGGCCTTGGCACCCTCCATGTAAGGTCTGCCAGAGGTGGCCCAGGTGGTACCATCGGTGCTAGGGGGGTCATCACTGCAGCCCCCTGGAATGTGAATAAGATTTCTTTTTATGCTTGTTTTAGCATGAGAAAAATACACACTGCTGGATGGTTTTTCTTGCACTTTAACAAGTTCAGGGGATATTATCCAATAAAAATGAATGTGCTTTAATAATTATGGCATGAGAAATATTATTTTGAAAGCAAAAAAATGTTATCTTGAAGCTCTCAATAAAATTATTATACCCTAAATTAAATATCTCACTTGATATCCTTTATGCATATTTCAAATAAATCACTAATTATGACAAAAAAAATCAATTTCTACTATAATTAACAAGCTGTTAGGCTAAAAGAAAGTTAATAAGAAAGTGATCCCTGAAACTTATAATCCATATACTCAAATAAAACATTCTATATGATCCAACCATCTCTCACTTACGGGCACAAGCAATCCTGCTTCCTATCCAGACACCAGCCTCACATCTCAGTGATCTGGCGCCTGCTATCTGGATATACCCTCTACCACAGGAGTAGCTGAGGGAGCTGCCTTCTCTGTATGGGCCTGTCCTGGGAGTGTACTCAGCGCCATCTATCTGTGGGGGTGGTGGACAGCCAGCTGCAATATGACAGTGGAACATTATGATTAGTGTGCATTATGAGAACCTTCCATAGCCCACATGTTAGTAAATTATACTGATAAATGGTTTGTTGCATATAAAGTTGTCTAGAATTCAAGGAGGAGAAAGAACAAAAAGAAGAAGAGGAAGAAGTAGAAGAACAGGAAGAATAAGTAGAAGAAGAAAAGGAAGAAGAGGTAGAAGAAGACAAGGAAGAAGAAGTAGAAGCACAAGAAGAAGAAGAAGAAGAAGAAAAGGGGAAAAGTAGTGATAGAAGATGAAGAAGAAGAAAAAGAGGTATAAGAATAAAGAGGAGAGATTTAAGAAGAGGTAGAATTAGTTGACTTACAAGAACACTGAAGTACTCCCTCAGAACCCCAGTTCCAGCCAGTGTTGGTACAGGTGGCTGTCAGGCTCCCAGAAGTGCGGAAAAACCCAGTGCTACAAGCATACGTTGCCACTGAGCCCAGGTTTGGTGGTGTGGAAGACAGATTTGGTGGTGTGGCACCTGCGACAGAAGGTGGGGTCCCACCACATCCAACTGGAATATTGTGTGAGTTAAAAATTAAAGATTGTTTGTAACTGCAAACCAGTAATTGCAACTGATAATTAAAATAAAATGAGAACTTTTCACTCAAAACTTTATAAGGTGCATTTAACATTCTACTGCAAAAACAAGTGACAAGAACTGAACAAATCTAAAAAAAATCACAAACAAAATCTTACAAAACTTGTTACCACCACACACTTATAAAAAATTGTCTTATCAAAAATCTTAAGATTCCCAGTTTGTTTAATAAAAGGTGCCAGAACTCCAGTTAAAACTTACGTGCACAGCGTAGTGCAGTGCCGTCCACCCACTGGAAGTTTCCGTCAGTACACCTTGCAGCTGTCACCCCAGCAGTGGCCACATATCCCGTGTTACAGGTGTAGAAGACGGTCACTCCTGACCTGTACGGACCCACAGAGGGACTGAACTCTGCATTCTGGACTACTGGAGGTGAGCCTGCACAACCAGCTGGAAGAAATGAGAGATTACGTTAGTTGTGACCATCAAAAAGAACTCGGCCTGTACAACCAGCCAAAAAGTTGAAAAAATTGTGTTAGATGTAACCAGCATGAAGAATTGGGCCTGTGCAACTAGCGTAAAGATTGAAAAAAGTGCGTTAGATGTGATAAGATTTTGTGCCGAAATTATTTCAACATACAAAACAAAATACCAGCAGGACTTAATTTGATGTCAGTGGTGGTTGCCAGTAGTATAGAAAGAGTAAGACTTTGCCACAAGTACTGAGTGGGTTTCCACCAGCTGTTAGGTGCTAGGTGTGACAGGATTGGGTTTAGTGACTTTCTCACCATTTGTAAGAAATTTAATGGCAATTCAATTTATTAAATTAACAAGTTGATGGGGGGAAAATAAGAGATAAAATTTTGCTTTCAGTATAGTCAGCTGAGGTATAACAAAGCACATCAACCCAAAATGTCGATTATATAAACAAAACCTGAGTGTGTTAGGTGAGACAGAGTAATTGCTCCAGGATTTGACTCACCTTGGCACACAATAGGAGCCCCAGAATTCCACACAAACCCAGCCCTGGTACATGTGACTATGTCACCACCTCCAACCTGTATAAATCTATCCCGACAGCGATATTCCACACTGGCGCTGGCCAGGTACTGTGCCCTTGGGGTATAGGTGGCGCCACTGATTTCTGGTGGCTGGCCAGGGCAGCCCGCTGGAAAAATAAACACAACATCTCAAATAGAAATAAGTTAATGAGAATTGTATTATGCAAATATGGTAAGTATAACAATTTGATGCCTGTAAAAGTAAATTGGTGTGTTGGTTGTGAAAACAGAGACCATGCTATGTTTTACATACATGCAGTAGGTTTGATAGATTTAACAGTGAGAAGTTTAACATTGTGACATGTATGACTCTTCAAAGATGGAGATATTGTGGCAGAAGTTACAAAGCAAAGAAGCACTTTTGTTTTCTTTCAAATTATGAACCTCCAGTTTCCCAATTATAATCAGGACATTCCTTTTACTAATCCAAATATTCATCATGACCATAGAAATATAAAAAGTGTTTCAATTAAACTGTGGATGACTACCCCACAGCACCTACCTTGACATCTTAGAGGACCTAGTGTTCCCCATTCAAAGTTCCCCGAGACACAGCGAGCTACTCCACTGCCACCTGTTGGAACATAGCCAGATCGACAACTGTAGGTGACATTAACGCCATCTAGGAATGGGCCTTGGGTGTTTTCAGGCGTGGCAAATGCAACTGGGGGAGGACTAAAGCAACCACCTAGAAGAAGAAAGAAAGAAAATATCTTTAGGAACCTACATATTAAGTAGTCAGAAGCTGCTTTGTAAGTATTTTTTGTGGGTCCATTTCTTTTTGGAAGGTTGTGGGTACACGGACTCTTTTTCTGAGAATAAGTGAAACCTTATTTTCTCCAAAAGTGAGCACAGATTTATTAGGCTTCATCACAAATGATCCCCAAGTTCAAAATTTACTAGTTGTTAACAATCACTTGGTGCAGCATTCAGTTGGGTTCATTTCCAACAAAACTATTGTTTTATTTAAGTCACTCCAACTCTGGATGGACTCTGGCAAAATGCTGTAAAATTAACAAATAAACACTCCTCCTTCTGGCACCGAGTAGAAAACAGAAAAACTGGGCATTATATGAGAATGTTGGAAACAAGAGGAGGAGTGTTAATCTGTTCATCTAACTGTATTCAGCAAGAGTCACAGTTGTGTTGTATCTACCTACATATTATGATAGTTCCAATGGGAATAAGCCCAACTTAAAATATTGTCTACCCATACCTTCACATTTAATTTGACCACCAGCTGCCCAGATAAAGTTCCCATTATTACAGAAGGCCAAACTGCTCCCAGCCGTCTGAAGTTGACCCAGCTGACATCTGTAGAACACCTGCGACCCTTGGATGTAAGGCCCAGTGGAGGGTGAAAACGAGGCTCCGGTCACCTCAACAGGACCATTTTTACAACCAGCTGAAATTGAAATAAAATTATTTCTGTATGGGGATTTTTTAAATTATTATACCTAGCTCACATTCCTATCAACTGACTTGTAAGAAATGAGTGAATAAGCAATTACTTCACAACTTTGAGAAAACAGGGTATTTATACTACCTGTATTTAAGCATGCTTCTGCTTCACATACAATATCAATTTGCACAACCAAAGGTTTGATCAATGTGGTCTACTTTTTGCTGACAAGCAATATTGGCCCTTCTGAAAACTAGGTCAGTGTGACCTATTAGTACTGGCAAGCTAATGGTCCTTCAGCAAACTGGGTCAATGTGACCTACTTACGCTGACAAGCTATTGGTCCTTCAGCTCCCCACTGAAATCTGGAGTTGGTACAAGATAAGGTGCTGGTGCCTCCAACTTGTACAAAGTCATCCCCACAGCTGTACGTAATCCTTGTGCCCTCTGTGTAAGGCCCTGCTTGGGAATATGTGGCCCCCGTCACTCGTTGGGGCTCTCCAGAACAGCCACCTGATTTTTTATTTAATTAAAAAATTATTCAGAGAGAGATACATGTGTGCATTTTAAATATACAGAGCAAAATGGAGATATAATTAAAAAAGAATTTACAGAAAATAATAAATCTACTAGCATGAATAAATGCTCATATAAACAAGAAGAAAGAAATATAAATAAAAGAAAAAATTCTGCATTACCCAACAAAATTTATTTAAATAAATTAATGAAAATAATGAAATACTGTTTGGTCTCTTTATCAATTAACACACAGACAGTTCTAAAGACCAGTAAATACTCACGTTCACACACAAGGGCCTCGTTGTTGTTCCATATAAAGCTGCCATTAGTACACTTGGCCTGGAGGCTGCCAGACTTACGGACAAAACCAAAAGAACAGGCGTAGACCACGGTGGCCTCCTCGAGGTAAGGACCAAACATGGGAGAATACCTGGCTCCATTCACTGTGGGAGCTCCCTGTGCACAGCCAGCTGGAATATAGAGGGCATGGGTCTCATTAATTAAGTATCTACTTATCTATTCATTATTCATATAGTCCTTTTAATTTTTTTTTACATGTGAACAGGTCAAGTTTTAGTATATAAGTTGCTGTTCTGGACAAAGTGGTTTTGTTGATCAGGGTGCTAAAATTGGGAATGGTGACTTACAGGTAGTTTAGTTCTGCTGTATAATCCAAAACTAACATGATTATTTTTTCCTCCAGTGCCATTTTTAACAAGTGAAATATTTTTATACTAAATTCAGTTAAGTTCAGTTCCATTTCAATCATTGCCAATGTAAGTCATCTAAATACGATCTCTGATGAAATTATTTGACTTTGTTACAAAAAAATGTTGCTGTCTACTGGGTATGCTAATTACTCTGAACTCTTACCCTGACACTGCAGTCGTACTCCCTGCCAGTTGCCATTGACGCAGGTCATCACCTCCCTGTTTGATCTACCCACATTGCCAGCTGAGCAGACGTACTCCACCTGAGCGCCCTCTAGGTAAGTTTCCCTGACTGGACTGTAGGTGGCTCCACCTATCTGTGGTGGTGTGCCACAGCCACCTGGAGGAAAAATGGAAGATTGCTATCTTATTTTGCATAAAAAACGCTTTTTGTTAACTTATTTGCCAAAGTTGAAGTCAAAAATTTTATTCATAATAATAAAATAAATGCTAAAAGATATAGAAATAAAAACTTACTCTTAGATAAAACACGGGAACAATATTTCAATGTATAGATATGTGACAAATGTACCTTCATATGTACGTGGCAATATTTCACTGTCTCATGTGAAAAACTGATAACATATAAACATTTTTTAACAAAATACCAATATTTTTACATTGTGTGTGTGTATGTGTAGATTTGTGTGTATGATCCTGCAAGCACCATTATACAAGCTTGCCTGGATGTTTTCTCTATACCCCCACTTCTCGTATGTGTGCAAACTTGTGTATGTGTATGTATTACTACATACACGTAAATGTGTTTGAGTGTGTGTTTGTGCGTTCTAGCCTGATAGCACATTTTCTCTTTGTTTAACCAATTCCACTTACGCTGACACACAATGGCCCCATTAGTCCATTCAAACCTGCTGTTGGTACATTTAGCAGTCGTTGACCCCCTAGTCTGGACATAGCCCAATGAGCAGGAGTAGGTCACAGTATTATTTTCACGGTACGGACCAGTAGTGGGGATGTAGGCTGCTCCAATTGCGTTGGGAGGTGCACCAGCACAACCACCTGTAATGACAGAAGACATTGTGTTTTATATTGTGAGGCTAAGACTGTGTTAGATGTGATTGACATAGGTGAGTGTTGGGTTTCAATTGTGTTAGATGTGATTGACATAGGTGAGTGTTGGGTTTCAATTGTGTTAGATGTGATTGACATAGGTGAGTGTTGGGTTTCAATTGTGTTAGATGTGAATATGACAAGTAAGATTGTGTTACATGTGAATGTGTTGGGAATTTTCATTTCACAATCCATTTATCATTTACACTTACCTGTATACATTCATTTACTTATTCTTTTATTCACTTCTTTAACTCATTTATATATTCACTTATTTCTTCATCTGTAAACTTTTCATGTCTTCATTTCTATTCTGTACAACATGTTGCTACCATCTTAACCCCCCTGACTTACGTTCACAGGAGATCGCCTGTCCTCTATCCCAAACAAATGTTCCTCCAGAGCACCTGGCCATGTTACTGCCCCCCGTGTTAATGTAACCATCCTGGCAGACGTAAGGCAGTATGGTGCCCTCAGTGAAGGCTGCCCCTGGGGCAATAAGTTCGGCCCCTGTAACTGTGGGTGGGTTGCCTTGACAACCAGCTGAAAATGATTGACAAAATTTTTGAAAGTTTTTTATCTGAGAAATGATGCATTGTGAGCATAGTTTAAAGATAATAAAATAAATTTTACTTTATTTCTCACTGTATAAGAAAAAGAATTACTCATTTTAATGTTAAGGGAAAAATTATTCATTTTGGCTGCCAAATGCAAAAATATGAGAAACAACCTCATAAATCAATATAATTGTCCAAAAAGAAGTTTGAAGTTTTATTACTGCATCTCCAGAAAACGAAAAACAACCAATCAAAAATGAACTTCAGTTTTCAACTTATATTATAAAATTCAATCAAAAATGACAAAAACCAAAATATAAAACCTCAACATCTACTTACGCTGACATCTGATTGGTCCATTGCTGTCCCAGACATATCTGCTGTTAATACAGGTGGCGCGGCTGGATCCCCCAGTTTGGACGTAGCCCGACCTGCAGGCATAGGTAATGGCGGTGTTTTGACGATAAGGACCTGTGGCTGGGGTGAAAGAGGCTCCTGTCATACTGGACGGTGGGTTTTCACAGCCCACTAGAAAAGAATGTAATCTTAGTAATATTTATACAATTTATATACATATGGGCAGGTTAAATAGCCTGATACATCATCAAACAGCAACTTTTAAATAAGATTCAGCAACATTTCAACTTGAAAAAACACTATTTTACTTATTTAAAAAAATGGCATGAAATGGCACTGAATGACCGTATTTTTGTGTTCTGAGAGTGATTTATGTAATCAAGTGAAACACAATATTTAAGTCATTCAGTGTCTATTTTCACATTCTATTAACTGATTTTCATATTTTATCAACTGATGATTTTTGCCTCAAATTGTTTTATCCCATATGCTATGAATGGTCAAAAGAACATTAAGTCTTGCAACCTTGTTTCAAAATTTCAAAAGCAGAACATTTTCTTTAAAATGTGTTTACAAAATAGCTCACATTCACAAGAGATAGCTGTTCCCCTTTCCCAGACATAAGTTCCACCTCTACAGATAGCCACCTCACTGCCTCCAGTGAGAATATAATTCTGCTGGCAGACGTAATTCAGCCTAGCACCCTCTGTATAGGTGGCCCCTGAATTAACTAGTGTGGCCCCCGTCACAGTTGGTGGGGTTCCCTGGCAACCAGCTGGAAACAAAGAATAAATGTTTTGGTAATTGAATGAACTGAATAATTAAATGAAATGTCAAATATTGCAAATTAAAATTAATCTTTTGAAAAGGTCTTATATCTAATTAGCACCAAACAAAGCAATGGTTATGAAAGAAATTTATACATTTTAATAATTTTTCAAGATAATTTTAATCATGACAGGCTCGTTTTCATGAGTTGTCATGTTGGTCTAAACACATTAAACATAATGTAGATGCTATTCAAGAATCATAATGTTGTTAACACTATAAAACAAAGTGAGCCTTTTCCATGCAAAATGTAATATTTGAATATTATCTCATTATGACAAAAAGTTTTCTAAATTTAGCTAAACATCAACTGTAACAGTAAAATCCTAACCAAAATATGGTCCACTGTATGTAACTTACATTCACACACAATGGCCCCATTGGTCCAGACATAATTTCCGCTTCTGCATGTTGCCAAATTGGAACCCGCAGTCTGCACGTACCCTGATGCACACTCATATGTGGCAACATCGCGCTCATGGTACAAACCAGTCGCTGGTGAGAAAGAGGCTCCCGTGATGTTGGGCGGCATATTTCTACATCCCACTACATGAAGGAAAAGTTTAGAATATCATTTTAGAGTATATTTCATAACAACAGTTACCATTAGATTAGCTGCTTGGTTGGATAAAGGGCAATACATTCTATGAAAACATAAAATCATTTTATTATCTATTAATTGATTTTAGCTGACAAGAAATAAGTATCTCTCAGTATCCCAACTAAACTGAAAAGTGTGCTTCGTAATACTAGCCATTCACAATATATCACGGTGAAAAATCATTTGAACTTCACATATTGGTATTTTGCATATCACTTTTCCTTACATTCACAAGAAATGGCATTTCCGCCCTCCCACACATAAACTCCTCCCCGGCAGACAGCTACATCACTGCCTCCAGTGTTAATATACATCTCCTGGCAGACATAAGTCAGTCTGGAACCTTCTGTATAGGTGGCCCGTGGATCTACTAGTGTGGCCCCCGCTACTGAGGGTGGGGAGATTGAGCAACCAGCTAGAATGGATGTAAACACATCATAATATGAGTAAATAAATATACCTCTTAACTTTGATTTTTAGGAGAAATTTCGGCTTTTACCACTTTTTTTCCAGTTTCCATCTGAAAAATTGTGTTTAAAGAAAAGAATAAATGTCATTATAAAATCCAATGCATGTGCATCATACTGGGCCACAAAAAGAAATGATAATCACTGAAAAAAAATGTGATGCCATTTTGGAAATCTGAAAAGTAATTTCAATTTTAATTTTTTCTAGATGTGAAAATAATTTTAAAAAACACTTCCACTAAGCACTTACTTAACCCTATTGCCACAGGTATATCTGAAAGTCAAATAAATAAGAACCATTTCCAACTATGGTCTATCAAAAGTATTAAAATTGGATTAGAATCTGGAAGAAAATTAAAGACTGAACTACCACAAAAAAGAGGCTAAATTCGTTTTCAGAAAAAAAGCAACACCCACAAGAGAGATTTGATAGGAAGAAATCTACAAAGAATTAAGAAAATTTTGCATTAAGATCTGGTTCTGGTAACTCCCGAGAAGTTTAGTTCATAAAAAGGACAAAATGGCTAAGAAGGGATAAAACAGAGCAAATAAAAATATAAGATGGTCAAAAACATATATTCTAAATGTAGTAACCTTTGGATTATAAAATAGAAATACAGTTTGAATATGGAAATACAGGTAAAGAATACAGAAACAGTAAAAGTTCAGAAGAGAGCACCAGTACAGTATAAACCTACATTGACAGACCAGAGCAGCCCTTGTCCACACATACGAGTTGTTAAGACAGGTCACTGTATTAGAACCTGCAGTTTGTACGAATCCAGGCGCACATGTATACGTTATGACCTCGTTCTGATGAATGTGACCTGTGTCTGGGGTAAAGGAAGCACCTGTCACACTAGGTGGACGGTCGGCACATCCCACTACAGAAAATAAGTTTTATCTATAAAATTATATGTAAACCCATTAGTAATAAGAAAGAAATATAAGTGTTTGGCAAGTTTTGTATAGAACTATAACGAAGAAATGGGACAGTATTAAGAAGTAATAAGAAGGCAGGCACCAAATTATGATAATGAAAGACCAGTCACTATTCAAAAAGTCTTTCAAAGTCTCCACAACTTAAAAATATATAAGGTGTTGAGGTAAACTACTCTTCCCACTCCATATGATATCCTGATGAACAAACTGCTCTGCATTAAAATATCAAACAAACCAAGTGCATTAATTTCTCTTACATTCACAAGAAATTGCACTTCCATTCAGCCACACAAACACTCCCCCTCTACAAGCTGCCACAGTGCTGCCCCCTGTGTTAATATAATTCTCTCGGCAGACGTATGTCAGTCTGGAACCTTCTGTATAGGTGGCCCGTGGATTCACTAGTGTGGCCCCCGCTACTGTTGGAGGGGCTATGATACAGCCAGCTGAAATAATATTAGATGACTAATACTGAAATAATATTAGATGACTAATACTGAAAAAATAAATAAAGTGACAAATTGCAGTTCTGTAGCTCTAGATCCTCAACTGTACTGAGACCACGCTGAAAGAAAATATGTGGAAAAATATTCAAAAATAGATTGTGAATCTATGAAAAAGATTAATATAAAAAAACAATGTTTTATTCATACAGTCGGTTCAAAATAATTTAATAAATCAAAGGAGTCCAGCAGCTGCAAAAATGGCTATTACTGCTGGCAAAAAAAAATCTTTCTTTTTTGTAAAAACTGAAAAAGGAATAACAATCAAAATATAGATTAACACTCAATGAATCTGTTGAGGAAAGAACATTCTATAAACATTTTGATAAATTGAATATTAATGTTAGTCATGCATCTACACACAACAAAACTTTAGTCAATTAGTGTCTTAAACATACAATTTACTCTACAAAGTTCATAATAATATGTTAGAAGTTAGACTTACGTTCACAAACAATAGTTTCGTTAGTCCAGCTATAAGTTCCGTTATCACACATTGCTGAGACAGACCCAGATGTCTGTACATATCCAGCCGCACATGCATAAATTATTACGTCATCCTGTTTGTATGGGCCTACAGCTGGCTTGAATGACGCGCCAGTTACATTTGGTGGATGTTGAGGACAGCCAGCTTAATAAAGAATATTTGGTTAATCAGTTCTATAATTAATTGGATTTAATATAATCTATAAAGCTTGCATTGGATTTGGCAAGGTAAGCAAGAAGAAAGAACAAATGTGGTAAATACTCACAAATTTCAAACATTGTACTTTTTTTTGGTCCAAATTTATCATTTTGAGAAACTTATATTCTGACATCAACAAAATAGTTTTTTTTTTTTTTTAAATTCAATTATCTTTTTTATTTATATCAAACATTGTGGGAAAGAAAAGAAGTCGATTTTGTTCAATTTCTGTGAGTAATTACCCAGAATATCTACTGCAATTACATGTTAAAAAGCACATGGTAGTTTAATAGCATAATATTAAGTCAAAAAAGTCAGCAATTTATAAGCCAGCTAGTTAATAAAAGCATTGTTAATTTAGATATCAAATTTGATCTTAATAATATTAAACTAGCTCAAGTACAAAAGCACTATTGTACATGTAACATTAGAATCCTGTTTACCTGACAAAAATTTATGAGTAAAGCGTCTATTTTAATGTTTACATGCCCTATTTTATCATCATCATTATAAACATTATCATTACAATTAATAAAAGCAATAATCAGTAAAATTCCTATTCACATGCTGTAAAAACTTACGTTCACACACTACAGTATTATTAGACCAAACATGCGTGCTGTTATCACACATTGTCGTGACGGAACCAGCTGTATGGACGTATCCCTCCACACATGCATACGTCACGACATCATCCTGCAGGTACGGGCCTGTTGGTGGTGTAAATGTCGCACCTACGACACTCGGAGGAGAGTCTGCACAACCCACTGTATAAACAAGACAACTTGCATGTTAAATGTTAACTAAAAATACAAACAAACTATGGAACACTGACATCTACTAGTATATTTGCAATGAGAAAATTCAGCAATTAATTGCACATATCCAGTGAAACTGTTCCAACCCATCTCAGTCCAGCCCATCTAAGCAGACTGTTTGATCACAATTCTTTATAGGCAGCCATTAGAAAGCACTCGTTTGGTTACTTATAGCTACTGTCACGCAATAAAAAATGTGGTTCGATTATTTTAAAAGCACACTAAAGCAATTAGTCAAGCACTAATATTAATAATAAAGCAATTAAAATATTAAGGCATATTGAGGAGCATACTGAAATAAGACATAAACTATATTAAGAATTAGACTTACGTTTACAAACAATTGTTTCATTAGTCCACACATAAGTGCTGTTATCACAAGTAGCAGTATTAGAGCCAGATGTCTGCACGTAACCTGTCGCACATGCATACGTTACAACATCATCCTGGAGGTATGGCCCAATTTCTGGGGTGAACGATGCATCCACAACACTGGGCGGAGAGTTTGCGCACCCAGCTAAGCACATTAGAAAAAGTTTTATATTATAAAAGTGTTATCATGTATTACAATGCTTGCAAAGCATTTTCAAATTTGGGTCAGCAAAATATTCCAAAAACCTTTTGAGTCAGAAGCATGAAAAATTAGCACATAAAATACATGGTTGTCACCTAAACTACTACTAGAAGCAAGCAACTAAAAATGCACATCAATAACAATTTATGCTCAAAATATAAGATCTTAATCTAACAAACAAGCTTTTTGTTAAGGATTAGTCCAACTTACATTCACAAACAATTGCTTCGTTAGTCCACACATAAGTGCTGTTATCACATGTAGCAGTATTAGAGCCAGATGTCTGCACGTAACCTGCCACACATGCATACGTTATAACATCATCCTGGAGGTATGGGACGTTTTCTGGGGTGAACGATGCATCCACAACACTTGGTGGAGAGTTTGCACAACCAGCTAGGCACATTAGAAAAAGTATTAGGGTTTAGCAATGCACCTCACTCTTAATTTCATTTCTAGATATTATTAGTGTATTAGACTAATGCAAGATAGTTTTAAGTGAAAACAATTCTAAAATTAATGTAAAAACTTGTTAAAACTGACAAAAATGTCTTTCTTCAGACTAAGTGTGACTTACGTTCACAAACTATAGTTTCATTAGTCCACACATAAGTGGTGTTATCACATGTAGCCGTACTAGAGCCAGATGTCTGCACGTAACCTGTCGCACATGCATACATTATAACATCATCCTGGAGGTAGGGGCCATTTTCTGGTGTGAACGACACACCCACAATACTCGGCGGAGAGTTTGCGCACCCAGCTAAGCACATTAAAAATTGATATTTAACTAGCATGTGATCACAAAAGTGTCTCAACACTTATGAACCCTTTTTTTAATTTGGATCTGCAAAAACTTTTCAAATTATAAGCATGAAAAGGCAGTCGACTGTACCCCAACTACCTGTAAAAGCATTATCAAGCAACTAAAAAAGCACATTAATAACCAGCAATTTATTCTAAAAAATATAAGTTCTGAAACTACCAAACCAGCTTTTTGCTGTAAAATTAGTTTTACTTACGTTTACAGACAATAGCTTCGTTAGTCCACACGTAAGTAGTGTTATCACAAGTAGCAGTATTAGAGCCAGATGTCTGTACATAACCTGCTGCACATGCATACGTTATAACATTTTTCTGTTGGTAGGGACCGTTTTCTGGGGTGAATGATGCACCCACAACACTCGGTGGAGAGTCTGCGCACCCAGCTAAGCACAAAGAAAGTGTCTCATTTTAAATGTGTAATCAGATAGGTGCTTCAACTGTTTAAAAGCAAATTCTGACTAAATTCTCCCAAAAACTTCTCAATTTGAAAAATTGGCACATATATTAGCTAGTATACTACAAGCAATAGTGCTACAAAGCAACTAAAACATGCACATCAGTGATAAGCAATTTATATTTAAAATGTTCTAAAACTAACAAACAAATTATTTATTCATTAAGGGTTAATCTGACTTACGTTCACAAACAATAGCTTCATTAGTCCACACATAAGTGGTGTTATCACATGTAGCTGTACTAGAGCCAGATGTCTGTACGTAACCTTCCGCACATGCATATGTTATAACATCATCTTGGAGGTAAGGGCCAATTTCTGGGGTGAACGATGCACCCACAATACTTCGTGGAGAGTTTGCGCATCCAGCTAAGCACACAAAAAATGAATTAGAACAAAGCTTCTAAATAAAGGCATTTCTTTTCTAAATATTGCTAGTGTATTAAACCTTTTTAAGTTAATTAAAAAAAAAACATGCTGCATCATGAAAAATAACATAGGCCCTATTCTATAAAAAATTATTCAATGTAAATACTACATCTAGTACAGTGCAATGTTAAAACAGAGCACAAGATGTCTCAGAAATTTGTTATTTGATTGGCTCTCTTATGCTACTTTGCCTAGCAACATCATGCAAGAAAGGGACAAACTGTTCACTTTTACTAATTTGGACAAGGTAAAGAATAACGTTCAAAGAAATATTAGATGTTGGATATCTTGAAAAAACCAAAATGGCCACCAATAGCAGATTGCACTATTGGTTTTATCATGGAATAGATGTCCTAGAACATGTGCGTTGTTCGCATAATTCAAGTTACATCCCACAGGCAGAAATAATGTTAATGAATAGACTTACGCTGACAGACAATTGTTTCATTTGTCCAAACAAATGTCCCGTTATCACAAACAGCAGTAACAGATCCAGAGGTATGAACATATCCCTCCATGCAAGCAAAGGTAACAACATCATCCTGTTGGTACGGACCTATCTCTGGCCCAAATGACGCCCCAATGACATTTTTTGGAGGATCAGAACAACCCACTAAACAAACCAGACAGCACAACAAAGTCAATTTTTTTGTGTTATTTCTATAATTCTGGTGTTAATTATTTTAAATTAAACTAAAGTTTTATCAAAGAAGCAATTTTCACAATTCTACACACAGAAGAGTAAGTGCTACAAAAATTATGCATGGTTAATTTATTATAAAAGCACACATCACAAACATTAACGTACATAATACTAAAAATTGAAATATTTTTATCATGCATTCTACTGTATCTATAAACATCAAACAACTTTTATTCATACAAAGGCCAAAAAATCATCTGTCTCTGTTGTACCATCCAATAGCTGCACTACATGCTGAAAACTTTTTCCCTGGAAAAATTAAGACAACATATAACTTTATGTTGACTAATAAGACAAAACTCACATGAACACACTAAAGCTCCATTGGTCCATACATAATTACTATTGACGCAAGTCGCTGTATTGGAACCCGCTGTCTGCACGTATCCGGCCATGCAGGAGTACGTTATGACCTCGTTCTGATGAATGTGACCTGTGGCTGGGCTGTAGGAAGCACCTGTGACATTTGGTGGACGCTCAGCACAACCCACTGAAAAACATTCAACCTTATAATTGATAACTTATTTTTATCAATTCATGTGTATTCATACATAAATCTAACATATTGCCCAGCTAACAATGAGATAAAAATGTGCAATTCAATGTTTTTAACCTTAAAAACTATAATTGACCTATTTCAATAAATCAAGTTAAATGCCCCAATATAATATGAGTTTTCCATAATGATAACCATGTTATGTTTATCATTATTTTTACTATTACATATCTTTTAAATCAAAACAACAAAGACTTACATTCACAGGATATAGCTTGCCCATTCTGCCATACAAAAGTGCCACCTCTGCACACTGCACTAGTGCTGCCCCCTGTATTTATGTAGTTCTCAAGACAAGCATAGTTGACAGTGCTGCCCTCTGTGTGCACCGACACTGGATTGAGTATTCTTGCCCCAGCGACAGTAGGGGGGCTCAGAGGACAGCCAGCTGAACAGGAAGAAAATAAAATATATTAATAATCAAATCCATCATATAACAATGAACTGCAATTGAAAACTTTCTAAAACTGTAGAAGTGAGACGATTTCATGTATAGTTTTTCATAGTTTTGTTTTAAATATGCTCAAGCTATAAGAGCTTCATATGCATCAAAAATATTTATCTGATCTCCATGACAACTTTATCTGCTGCTGTTTATCATGAAAAAGGTTGCAGTACAGAGATAGTGAATGCGTCTGAATGTGAATACCTCAAATATGATTGTGTCTGGGTGTGATGTACAGGGTGCGTTCTCATATATCAAGTCAGTTGTTTGAATCTAAATTGAGAATGACTATACTGGGTAATGGTTGTTGGTCAAATTGGCAGGCAGTAGGTAGGCATGAGATTAAATTATCTTAGATAGGACATTAATTGTGTGACCTAGATTGTGTTAGATGTGACCCTAGATTGTGTTCGATGTGACCCTAGATTGTGTTAGACGTGACCCTAGATTGTGTTAGATGTGACCCTAGATTGTGTCAGATGTGACCCTAGATTGTGTTAGATGTGATGCTATCAAATTTCAACACCACATTACCTGTACAGACCAAGGATCCTCCAGCACCCCACTCAAAGTTTCCATTGTTACACGATGCCGTCAGTGATCCATTAGTCTTAACAAAGCCCGACCCGCAGTCATAAGTAACAGTGCTGCCATCTATATATGGTCCCTGGGCAGGCGTGAAAGAAGCTCCAACAACTATTGGGGGTCCACTAGCACAGGATGCTGGGAAAAATTGAAAGAGATTTTTGTAAGTTTGCTTGGGTTCAAATATTTGTTCAGGATGATAATTAATTTTTTTATGCTTTCTCTCCTTTTTCATTAAAAAATTAACCTTATATTTCCGCACAATAACCAAAATATATTTAGCTATTTAAATGAATGCCCAATTATTGAGCATGGCATATTTTACTAAAATGTAATGCATTAATTGTGATGCTTCATGTGATTAGAAATCTTGAAGATGTTAAAGATATGCATATTCTGTCAGGGAAAGTTATACATCTTCAGTATTTGTAATTCTCAATCTGTGATCAACTAATATAATTTTTGTAACTTTTTGATGTCTCTATCCTGGATTAACTTTCAAATTGGGAATCTGAACAACTGCTTAAAATAAATGAAAATATTTCCAAATACCTTGACATATAATGGGTTGGCCATTCTGCCAGACAAAATTTCCATTTCGGCAGATTACAGAACTGCTACCTCCAGTCTGGGTGGAGCCATTGAGACAGAAGTATGTGACCCTGGCGCCCTCTGTGTAAGTCCCTACGTGGAAATGTGATGCCCCCGCTACATTAGGAGTGTCTCCAGGGCAACCAGCTGTAAGGATGGAAATAATTTTTAGTTTATACTGCATTAAAACACAATGTCAAATACATTTTAAGAGTAATACAGCAGAACTCAGACAAAAATCCAACAAGCCATCAGTGGGCTATCAAAGAAGCATCCTTCATCAGAAAATCACAAATGTGAAATGTCAGTAGAGGTTGAGATGAAAAAAATTCGTTCAGATTTTTGCACCCACTGTACCTTCACAAACAAGTGCCCCTCCGGATCCCCAGACGTAATTCCCATCTTGACACGTTGCCACATCACTGCCAGAGGTCCTGACACTGCTTCCTGAGCAAGCGTAGGTGACTGCGGTGCCATCTAGGTATGGGCCCTGATCAGGTGAGAAGTCTGCTCTCTGGACAGTAGGTGGCACTGTGCAGGATACTGAGGCAAGATGAGACACAAACTTTGTAATTTAAACAAAAATATTGTCCTTATAAATTCAATAAAAAAAGCTTTTCACAATTTAAGAGATATGTGCATTAAATGTATATAAACTTCCTAATACCTACAATGACACAGCAAATATTAACAAATAAACCTCTCCTTGCGACAAAGCATTATCATACTTTCTTAAGCTATGAACTGTTGAAGCACAGTCATGTTAATGTCACGCTGACAGCTCTGTACCTACTCACCTGTACAGTTCAAAACTCCAGGTGCATCCCAGGTGAACACACCATTTCTACATCTGGCTGCAGTGCTGCCCCCTGTCTGAGTATTGCCAGACTGACAGGCGTATCTGACCACACTGTCCTCCAGGTATGGACCAGTGGCCGGATTGAAAGAGGCTCCCTGGACGGTCGGAGGACCCTGGGCACAGGTGGCTAAAATAGGCACAATTTGTGCAATAGTGATTAAGAATAATCACACCCCACACAATCACCCACAATTCAATTACAGCTTGTGCAATCACAATCTAACACAATTATTTTACAGAATCACAACCAACACAATCACAACCAGCATAATCACACCTAGCACAATTGCATGTAGGGCAATCACAACCCTGCACAATCAAACCTAATGCAATCACAACTACCACAATGACCAGGGCTTGGACTGCTGCAACAAGACAGCATGTCTTTTTAACAGTGACTAGTTCATAAGCAGTTGTCATGTGTCATATTTTTTACTCTTATATGCCACATTAAAAGAATAAAGATATATAATTGTGTTATGAAATATAACATATTTTAGTTACACATTTGCAGGTAAGTGTTAACACACAAAAAGCTCTTGTACATGACATGTTAATAATGCTTACACATTTTTTGTTAAAACAAACAACATTATAAATTTATCGCATGTCAGTGCCACACAGATCTTGTCATTTTTTCTTATCATTATCTTTAAACTACAGCAATATAAAGCAAGTCAGAAAAAGCCACAATGTTAAAGCCCACCTTGACAGACAAGAGCGCCATCTATACCCCATACAAAACTTCCATTCTGACACTGTGCAGTCAAACTCCCACTTGTTTGTATATAACCAGTATTACAACTGTAGGTCAGTACATCTCCACTGACATAGGGCGAAGCTGCAGACGAATTAAAACTCGCCCCTTGGACTTCTGGGATACTATTACATGATGCTGGAAATGTTGATATAATATTTGTTACTCTGGATCGCATGCATTTTTTATGAGCTATTTTAGGCTGCTTTATGTTCTTTTGTAGGCTGCTGTTATTGTTTTTCAGTTTTAAATCATTTAATGCAACTTGTGATTAATTCAAGCTTAACATCTTTCTAGGTTAATATACTTTGTAATAATAACAAAATTAAGCATGAACATTTTAGTGCAACCATTAGGTTAAAAAGCTCAATACTTCTAAACATTTTAATATGCATGACCACAGACAGGCATTAGTAAGTAATCACATGAGAAAAAAAATTAAAATTTAAAGATAATTCAAAATCAATGTTAACCTTGGCACACCATGCTCCCGACCACACCCCAGTCAAATGTGCCATTAGTGCATCTGACCGAAGCCGAGCCACTGGTCTGGACAAACCCAGTGGTGCAAGCGTATGTCACAGTGTCGCCCTCTATGAAAGGTCCTGAGGCCTGAGTGACAAACCCTGCATTAACGACCTCTGGTGGGCTCTGACATAAAGCTAAAAAAATCATGATAATGTAAAAACATTTCAGCTAAAAGAAATTATAGCATGATTATAATATCTAGTGGTAAAAAAAACAGACAGTGGCCTTAATGAAAATGGCGTTTGCACTACCTAAAATGAAGAATCACCAAAAAGTTATTATTACAGACAATCAGATATTGAAATAAAAAGGAAAAAGCAAAGAGTGTAATCCCGTACCTTGACACCTGGTGGCACCACCAGTTCCCCAGACAAAGACACCATTGGTGCATCTAGCGGTGGTGCTGGTTCCGGTGACCTGTCGGTAGTTGCTGTTACAGGCATATGTCAGTACACTTCCCTCGACATAAGACCCTTGTGCCGGGGTGACGGTGGCCCCGGCAACCACTGGCGCTGTCAAGCAAGTTGCTGCGGCACAAAAATTTAATAGTTTATTAATATTATATTGCACTGTCTGAACCATATCATGTTAAAATTAATCAAAAAAAGTCACATAAAAGGGCCTGAGGGAAGAGGCTTCATTCTTTCTTGTAGCTTGCCCCAAAGAAGTGAAATAAGTCCTAAAATACCACACTGAATATGGTTATTATATGGAACAATGTGTAAATATTCATTACCAGCTACTACTTCATGTACAGAGATCAAGTTATTTTACATGCTGCTTAAAGTGTTACTTAAAGCATTAATAACTACATAGCACATTAAAAAAGAAGTTATTCTTCTGTTACAGTTAGGTTTTTGTATTATTATATGATAATCAAGACAAAATTTTGATTATGCATACAAATGCACCTTTTTCAGCTCATGCTTTGACTAGTTTACTTTTAAATTAATTGTCAAAACACACATGGTTTTAATTCACTTTTTTAATTATCTCTTTCTCTCACTCTATCTCAGTCTTTTTTCCTCTCTCTCTCTCTGTTACATGTGTTTATTAATATGAATGCACACACACACACACACACACACACACACACACACACAAACAAACAAGCACACATGCAAGCATATGCAATTTAAAACACATACCCAGGATTTCCTCAGTCAAAGTTAAACTACCCTAATACTCTAACACACCTTGGCACTCAATGGGGCCTCCAGCTCCCCAGATAAAGGTACTGTTAGAACACGTGGCACGAGAACTAGTGCCGTTCACCTGTACAAAGCCAGGAGAGTTACACGTGTAATCAACAACTGCTCCCTCAGTGAATGTTGCTGAATTTGTAGTAATGGATGCTCCCTGAATGGTAGGAGGGCTAGGACAGTTGGCTGGAAGTGGTTCATTAATTTGAAAAGTTACTTTTTTATTAAAACAAGAGCAAATGACATTTTTCCACTCATGTAGCTATTCATCCATATTAGTTGTTGTTGTTATTATTATTATTATTATTATTATTATTATTATTATTATTATTATTATAATGATGATGATGATTATGTTAGAGAAACAATAAAGCAGTCAGTTGTTAAAAATGCAAGTGCTGGGAAAATGTTATCATCATCATCATCATCATCTTCGGCTTACCTGCACAGAAGAGGGCGCCATCAGCACCCCAAGCAAAGGCAGAGTTTGTACACGTGGCTCTATTGCTGCCAGACGTTGGAGTGAATCCTGACGAGCAGACATAGGTCAGGACATCGCCCTCTGTGTACTGTTGCTTCAGGGGACTGAAAGCTGCTCCGTTTACACTGGGAGGACTGGGGCAGATACCTGGGGGGGGGGACAAATATTATAATGGTTTTTGACCACCTTTTGTTTGACAGACACAGAAACACACACACACACATACTCACGCACACAAACGCTCACACAAAATGACACAGCTTCATTGTCTTACTGCATATTTATAAACACGCGAACTTCTGAAGTGTCAGTCTGAAGATAGACACTTCATTATAACATAACACAACTTTGCAATGTACTAGTAAATAGATATTCTGGGAACAATTTCTGGTCCATCAAATTTAGTCAAGAAAAAAAGGGAAAGAAGAAAAACTGAACAAACATTAGTCCCAGTGCTTTGGCTATTCAATCCAAGGAAAAACTGACTGAAGGAGTTCCTCAACTTTCAACTTACCTCTACAAGAGATGGCACCACCTGTGCTCCAAACAAAAATGCCATTGGTGCACCTTGCAGTAGTACTGGTGCCGTTGGTCTGGACAAAGCCTCCATTACAGGAGTACGTGATAACGGAACCCTCACTGTAGGGTCCTGTAGATGGCGTGAAGGTAGCTCCACTGACAGCCAGAGGGTTCTGACATGTGGCTGAAAGTGAGGATGTTTATTTTACAAAAATTGTTCAGACTCTTAAGCTCATAAGGAATGAGCTATGTATGCATAGTAGTTGGTGAATATTTTTTTAGAAAAAATATCTAAAAATATATGCATCTATTTATTCTATAAGTGTCAAAATAATGACTTACAAAATACAGCTTAAAAAAGTTTGAAATCCCAATTAATTTGCTGTCAACATTATTGTAAAGTCTAAAAACATATATTTTGCGACTGATTAATTCTCTGAATAATCACCTTGACACACAAAAGCACCACCAGTGCCCCACTGGAATACCCCATTGGTGCAGGTAGCAGTATTACTGGTACCACTGACTTGGATCAAACCACTGTTACATCTATATGTGACCCTGGCGCCATCTACATATGGGCCTGACGCTGGGGATGGGGTTGCCCCAGCAACCACAGGAGCTGCTGCACAGGTTGCTGAAAAATGGATTTTTTTAATTGAAAATTAATGATTGGTAAAATCTCTTTAAGAAAGGCATGTAACTGTCACCTCAGAATTAAATTACGGTATAAAAAATATATTGATATCAAAATTGACAAAACTAATTAATTTTAAAATTAGTTGATTATCTACTACCCTGATGCATTATTTTTTGTCCAATTACACATACACTTAAATAAATTTACCTGCAAAGACCATAGGTTTGCACTGACATTATTTGAACACAAAACAGATCATTACTTTTCTAACTACTTATTTCTTTACTGTCAAGTTACCAACCTTGACAAGTTAGTGCGGCCCCTCCTACCCACAAGAAGGCGCCACCAGTACACCTTGCTGTACGACTGGTGCCGCTGGCTTGAACAAGACCACCAGTACATGTATATGTGACTGTGGCTCCCTCTAGATATGGGCCAACAGTTGGTGAGAAAGAGGCTCCAGTGACGGAGGATGGGGCTGAGCATGTAGCTGAAAATATAAAAAAAAAAGCTTACTGTAAATCATGATTAAGTACTGATAGTCTGGAAGATTACATAAGCTCATAAATAAGAAGACAAATTTTACCTTAAAAATTAGAAATTTTAAATCTATTTTTTTTTGACTTAATAAAAAACCTGTACATATACATGTATTTAGTTGTATTTTGTTACATGCAGAGCACCTAATTAAATTCTAGCTTACATAGGCACATATATACAGGGTATCTCTTCATACTAAGCTTAAGATTATTTTAAATCAATCACCTTGACAAACCAGAGCACCACCGGTGCCCCACTGAAAAGCACCATTGGTACAAGTAGCAGTGGTGCTAGTACCATTAGCTTGTATTAAACCAGCGTTACAACTGTAAGTGACTACAGCGCCCTCTAACCAGGGACCTACAGCTGGTGAAAATGTTGCTCCTGTCACACTTGGGGGAGTCCCACATGATGCTGAAAAATGAAAATTGTTACTCTTTAGGGCGATCCATCTTCTTTATTACTTATATAAGTTACATCATGAAGCAAAAGTTTGATCTTCTTAATGTTTATAAATCCAATACAAATGTTGAAAATTTAACTGCCTTTATGACCATATGCTATTACACTTTACTAGCCATACTAAAACATGACAAATACTAGAAATGCACTCCAAGAGCGCAGACCTCTGCCAAGGCAGCAAAGTCTCCACCCAATGCTGTTTCACCCCTAAATTTTCATTCTATAATGATTTAGTTTTTTGATTTTTGATTATTGATTGATTAATGATTCAGATCACCACCAAAAACTAATCATCTGTTCCTTGGCCCACTTCTGACAGTTCCTGAAAATTTCATCAAAATGGGTCCATAACTTTTTCTGTAATGTTGCTAACAGACAGAGAGACAGACAGACAAACTAACGGAACCAAAAACATAACCTCCTTAGCAGAGGTAACTACATATCTTCCTGCATGCATTCTGTTTACCTTGACAAGTCAGTGCAGTCCCTCCTACCCACAAGAAGGCGCCACCAGTACACCTTGCTATACGACTGGTGCCGCTGGCTTGAACAAGACCACCAGTACATGTATATGTGACTGTGGCTCCCTCTACATATGGGCCAACAGTTGGTGAGAAAGAGGCTCCAGTGACGGAGGGCGGTGCAGAACAGGTAGCTGAAGATAAATGAACAAATTTTCTTTATTGTGCTACATATAAATAAAAATGCATTACTTTTTTTTTTTGGTTCAACATAAAATACAATGCATGTAATAGTGATGTAAACATTATATATATAAACAATGCAGCCAAAACGCGAAAAAAAATCTAGATTTTTATTTAAAAGCCTCTGATGAACCCTTTCAACACCTAGGTTACATATTTATTTTAAGTTACATCATGAAGCAAAAGTTTAACCTTCTTAATGTTTATAAATCCAATACAAATGTGGAAAATTTAACTGCCTTTATGACCATGCCATTACATCCAAATATTATATATCTTCTGGCATGTATTCTTTTTACCTTGACAAGTTAGTGCAGCCCCTCCTACCCATAAAAAGGCGCCACCAGTACATCTCGCTGTACGACTGGTGCCGCTGGCTTGAACAAGACCACCAGTACATGTATATGTAACTGTGGCTCCCTCTAGATATGGGCCAACAGCTGGTGAGAAAGAGGTTCCAGTGACGGAGGGCGGGGCAGAACAAGGAGCTTAAGATAAATGAACAATTGGTCTTAGTTATGCTACATAAATATAAAAATAGGTGATTTTTTTTCCTTTGGCTCATAGGAGAAGAAAAAAAAAAATTGTCCATGTAAAATACCTGTCAGTGATATTAACACGTGTCAGTGACATCTCAAAGCTTCAAATGAGTACATGTATAAACAAAGCCAAAGCAGTTAATGTTCATCAACCCTGGCAAGCAGAGTTATAAATAAATTATTAGAGTTTATAAAATACTAAATCAAACACTCCATTATTTCACCAAGATAATAAACAATAGATTAATCACCTTGACAAACTAGAGGACCACCGGTGCCCCATTGAAAAGCACCATTGGTACAAGTAGCAGTGGTGCTTGTACCATTAGCTTGTATTAAACCAACGTTACAACTGTAAGTGACTACAGCGCCCTCTACCCAAGGACCTACAGCTGGTGAAAATGTCGCTCCTGTCACACTTGGGGGAGTCCCACATGATGCTGTTAAATTAGGAATTATCCATGCTAACAGATGCAGTCATACATTTATATAGATAAAAATCATCGTCATATCAACATTGTAAACACTGGTTATAGAAGTACCACAATGAATTATGAGTTAAACAAGACTCAAGCCTTAAGTTAAAGCAGATATCTATGTATGCCTAAGTTATCAGTCTGAAAAAAATTAATAAAGTACCGTAAGCACTTTATACTGATTTAGTAAATGAATAATAATGATAATAATGAGCAATTAATATGCATGTGTAAAGGCTCAAGTTTAATTCAGTTATATACCTAAGAAAGATATTTTATTTAAATATGCTTTTGATTGCATGCAAGATCATATTAATCACCTTGACAAACCAGAGCACCACCGGTGCCCCACTGAAAAGCACCATTGGTACAAGTAGCAGTGGTGCTAGTACCATTAGCTTGTATTAAACCAGCGTTACAACTGTAAGTGACTACAGCGCCCTCTACCCAAGGACCTACAGCTGGCGAAAATGTTGCTCCTGTCACACTTGGGGGAGGCCCACATGATGCTGTAATATTTGAGTTATCATATATTTTTAATTGTGTATTCTGTTAACTGGAATATTATATTATATTATATTATATTATATTATATTATATTATATTATATTATATTATATTATATTATATTATATTATATTATGAATAGATAATATATAATGTAACCCCATGTAAGTTCACACACAAAAGCTTGCAAAAGCCAATATTTATTTGTAGATTTAACATATTTTTATAATAATGATAAATGGGAAGAGGCATTTCTATGAAATATCTTAAGAACATGTATCGGTACCCCTATAAATGTTGCCACCCTGCCTCCAAAATTTTTATATGAGGAAGTTTTTGGAAACTTTTTTTTTCTTATTTTGGAGGGGGGGTATTTTCCTTTCATCATCATCTTTTTTTTTCCCATCAGTCAGCTTTTGGTTGAGCACCACAGGGAATACAGTAGGCCTACAAACAGCCTTCCTTTACTGTACACTGTTTACGTCTACTTAGTCCCACCCCATGGGTTTTCTCATTCTATGATCCTGATAACTCCAAATCTCATGCCTTGCATATAACAGACATGAGCCTAGGTTTCAAAAAAAAAAACAAACAAAAAAAAAACTCTGAACATTTATCATGGTGCATTTATCACAAGATCTTGACGAATCTCAGGAACCATCAGAATTACATTTAAAAAACCTGGAATTCTGCGCTTCCCCAGAAAAAAAGCTCATGTCTGATATAAGATCACCATGGTAACAAGGCTGTCTGTTCCCTGTCTTACCTGTACACACCAGTACACCCCCAGTTCCCCACTGAAATGAGCCATTGGTACAAGTGGCTGTGGTGGAGCCAGACCTACGGAGAAATCCTACGCCACATGCTGCCGTTATTGTTACTCCCTGGAGGTAGGGTCCCGCTGCTGGGGTGAAGGTCGCCCCGGGGACAACTGGAGCAGGGCAGGTTCCTGGAAAAAATTAACAATGGTGTGATTCCTTAGGTGGATACCACAGGGTGGGTTGAGGGGGGGGGGGGGGGAGTTGAGGAGGCTAGACTCTCTCCCTATTTGTAGAATAAAACTCACCCAAAAAGAAAACACACTCTTAGACACATGAATAAAATCATAAATATCAAATCAAAATCAAGATAATATATAACCAAAATTAACTTTAAAAATTAAAATAAATACATTGTTTGCTTTATTAAGGGAAATATTCAGCGTAAGACAAATTTTACCAAAAGAATCCAAATGAGAAAAAAATGATAAGGTTACAATAATTATCCATCAGCAGCAGTGCTCTCTGTAAATCCACCACTAATACAATTAAGATAATTAGAATATTGACAAAATGATAAAGGACCGCTTACTTGTGCAGACCAAGGCACCGCCTGTACCCCACACAAAGCCCCCTCCCTGACAGGTGGCAGTAGTGCTCCCAGCTGTCCGCTGAAAGCCAGTGCCACATGTGTATGTCAGCACGCTGCCCTCTGCGTACTGTGGCTGCTGTGGCACAAATGTGGCTCCTGTGACAGTTGGGGTCTGTCTGCACACGGCTGTAAGCAGGATGTAGACATAATGAAATTGTGCAATATTGTAGTTAAAATGTGAAAAAGGGCAAATTTATTTTCCTACGATTCAAGACCTATATATATTCAGGAGTTCAACTGTTTATCAATGAATCTGCATGCATTTTATCTGCACAGGGTTTGACACTTACTTTATGACCACTTGTCCTTCAGACAGCCTGTGGTCATAAATTTGACTTGTCTGCATGACTTTGAATCCAACCTGTCCAACAAATCCAGTATTTTTTTTTTCATTCATACCTCTCAGTGAACTTTGTAAATTCACAAGTGTAATGTATTAATTACCAAGATGTTCAATAAAAATGAGAAAATGCAACCTAAAGTGGATTTATTCTTAGATGAAAAGTTCATTTTTCATATACCTTTAAACTCCTGAAGATTTTACCTTCCACAGAAAAGTGATTTAAGATCATTTCAATCCATGCTCCCCTCCCCCGACCCCCCAGTGAAAGAAAATACATTATAACAATAAAAAAAAAGACAAATACCAAGTAATTTCCTTCCCTTGTCCCTTGAAAGAATTTCGAATTACTGTAAAATTATCCTCATCTATCATATTCTATTTTTTCCATACAAAGTGTGGTAGAATTCTACAGTACCGGTACAACTATTTGCCTGCCCCCCCCCCCCCCCTTCCTCTTGCTAAACCCCTGCCATGCCAGAGTGTGGAGCTGGTGCAGTGTCTACCTACCTGACACTTGTATTCTGGTCGTACAATGTAAACCAGTGTACTCTGGCGGACATACACAGTACAACCGAGAGTTCTCCTCGCGGCAGGAGCCACCGTTGAAACAAACAATGTTGATACAGGGGTCCCTCACAGCTGTTAGGAAGAAATACAGGTTAAGGTTGGGAAGTGGGATGGAGAGAGTGAAAAAGAGAAAGAGAGAGAAAGGAAGAAAAAATAGCAGGCTTGTACCCAGTGAAGGGGTGGGGGGGGGCGTAGATTTAAAGGCATACAGTTTGGATTATTCATATTAAAAAATATTCTGGAAATTTCAGCAGAGGTTTTGGATATTGCATTCCATGGTGATAAAGGAAAAGTGTTCAAAATTATTTTAAAAAACTATTGCATTCCACGGTGATAAAGGAATTTTCAAAAATCAAATTTTCTTGCACCTGCATGACAAAGTTTGTAGCTCGTTCTGTGCCTTTAAACAATGGGATCAAAACAATTGATGAACAGATTTGCCATCAACGCAGACAAACTTTTGTTATGATAAATATTTATATATATATATAGTTTATATATATATAGCTTAATTAATATGTGTCTTTAAATGATTGGTTTAAAACAACTGATGAACAGATTTGCCACCAGCACTGATAACAGGTAGTTAGGATTTTCCAAAGAAACCAGAGATTTAGGTCAGTCCAAATTAGCCAGAAACCCTCCAAGATATAGGCCCTTTTTCAGAACAGCTAGGTACTTCTCTTTCTTAAATAAATTTTCATACAGTGAAATAAATAGCTGTCCTGCATGGGTTTCATAGGAAATATAGGAAAGGAGAGGATATAAATTGTCACCAAGGATATTGTATTTTCCTAGAATATTGTGCCTTCTTAGCATACAATTTCCTTGGAAACTTCATAAAGAGAAGTGAATGAACTATGTGTCAAAGAATTTATTTTCTTTTTCTATTATCTTTCAGCATATAACAGTTGTAACTAAAAATTTCAAAAGCTTGAAAATTTGGATGTCATTCTTTTTCTTCTGACACAGAGTTCATGACTTCAAATAATTTACATGATGCAAGGAAAGTTAAAATTAACCAAGGAATAATTGTGACCATAATGAAACCATAACTTTATAAGGTAAATGAAATTAACAAGTAGTTTCCATAGTACCTCAAAAACCAATGAAATAAAATGAAATCTGAACTGGAAACCAAGTACCTACCCTTTTGAAGAAAAAAGGAAACAACTGGTGAAAGGACACATGGGTTTGAAGAATATGGATACTATAATTTTTCAATATTGTTTAATAACACTTACGACATGTATCTGTATTACAGGGGCGACTCTCTGTTGCCAAACCTGGGCAGGGCACACCGTTCACAACATTACACACGCGCGTTCTCAACTGCTGTGCACCGCCACACGTTACTGGACATGCACTCCACTGGCCCCAAGGTCCGTACGAACTGGTGGGACAATCCTGAAAATTACAGTTCACCGTTTCTGATGCAGGTCCTGGACAAGGAGCTCCACCAAACTGAGCAGGCGGATTGTTACAAACACGTGTGCGTGTCTGTGTCGCAGTCGGGCCGCACGTCGCAGTGCATGTTGAAAACTGCCCCCACTGTCCCCAGTTGCCATTGACAGGACATGTGGGTAGGAAACAAATCAGGGAATCTGTGGATGGCCCCTGACATGGCAGACCACCCGGGGATGGGGGTGGACTGTCACATAACCTGGTCCTTGTCACTTGACCCTGACCACAGGTCACTGAGCAGGATGACCAACTGCTCCATTGGCCATAGCCAGCATTGAGGGAACACTGGGGAAGAAAACACTGCTGGGTTTGTGTGGCGGATCCAGGGCATGCTGCTGTAGGGTTTGGAGACGGGCATGTGCGCGTTCGCTGTCGGTTTGCAGAACCACAGGTGGCGCTGCAGCTTGTCCACTGTCCCCACTGTGCCCAGCCAGCTGTGGTACAGGACCTGAAGAATATATATATTTCATGCAAATATTGCTTTGCTTTACTACCATCCTAGTAAATTTACTACTGTTGTACCATAATAACAATTTATTAATATTGCTCACCTTTATTGTAAATTTTGGACTTAATCAAAATGTTGATCTTGTGATAGAAAAGTACATGTAATTTTAGTTACTTTTCTACTTTAAAAAAAATCTATTCCTTTTATGCTCAATTAAAGTCTACATTGTATTTCCAGGTTCATAAACAAATCACTTACCAATGCAAGTGCTCAACAAGATATCAAAACCACGTCAATACAATAAAACATGCTGTTTACATATAAGTCTTTGCAAGCACGAAAATATTAGCTCAAAACGAAAGTCCCTACGTCAGCGCCACCTATCGCTCTGCTAAGGAACTAATTTATAATGGTGAACAATCTTCATCACAGCCACCAAACATAACTTACATTGAAAACACCACGGAGAGAGCTGCAATGACACAGATACTTACTGTAAAAAGCAGAACCTGGTCTCACTTAAAGGCCCTTCACCGCAAGCACCAGCTCCTCCGGGACAAGCCCGATTTCTTGTCTGGGTTCCGAAGCCACAGGTCACCGAACAATCGCCCCATTGACTCCACTGTGTAAATACACTAGCCGCTGGAATGTAAAAAATAGAATTGCTTGTGGATTTCTTCTTCCTGTTACTAGTAGGGCTATTAGTATTACTGTTATCGCTTATATTTCGACGTTATGTGCTATTTCACAGTACTATATTTATAAAACAACCTTTTCAAACCCTAAAAATGTGACCCTTCTTCTCAGTCTGCTTCTACACTTCCAGCAGCATCAATAAATGGACGTGTTTGAAAAGAGTCAACACAGTCAAGACTATGTTGATGACTCTGTATGCCAGTTTGACGCAGCACAATCTCCCTTAAGCCCGCTTAAGCACATTGTTCAGCGTTAACATTATCACACCTAACACATTCCACAATTGGTACGCACCTTGGTTGATCTCGCAGAATTCTCCACTGAAGCCAGGAAGACATCGACACTCGTGATCATTTAAAAGGTGAACGCACGAGCCGCCATTTTGACATACGATCCCTTGACAGTTGTCAACTAAAAGAGGAAAAATAATATTTATTTTAAAAAAAGTCGTCTTTCAATAGATTGGCGAAAATTTGTAATTTTTAGACCCTACACACAGAGAGAGAGAGAGAGAGAGAGAGAGAGAGAGAGAGAGAGAGAGAGAAACTGCAAAGACCTCATGTAATTTCGTTCACTTGATAAATGATAATTAAATTAGTCTCCAAACTGTGTGTGTAAATCTGTAGATTGTTAATGGGAAATTTAAAACTCGAAACTCGGTAGCACCGTAAATTGTTGAAGACATTATTACAAGTAATAATTAGGCCTATAGTATAATCGATCATTTTCTTGACATCACAAGCGGGCTTGCAGAAACATTCATACGTTGTAGTCACATTAGATAGACCTTTATTAACACATCACATTTATTGGCCAACAGAAAAATATCACACTACATAACTAAAATTATAAGTAGGGCCTAACCCATCACAGAAGAGCAACAGATGGTAGGCCTACTAGCATCAATACACATAACGCAAAGATGGACACTCCAATACTATAACCACACAATTTAGGAAACTAGAAAAATGTTAATTGCGTTATATAATTTGCATTCCTGCAAATAAACTGTCTATTTTCCCATTAAAAACTTTGGCCAGTTTCATCAAACCTTAGCTACTTATACCGATGACGTCACTAAAATGCGTTCTGTCGATTTACCACAATCGCCGTGTTGATCTTTTAAGTTTAATAAATTGAGTTTAGTATGCATCGATACAGATCATCTATTTACTTAACGTATCCTAAAAATTCATTCCTTTATTTATTTATGTATTTATTTATTTATTTAAGAGTCCCTGAGGATGGCGGATAAGCCGAAGGTGAGGCGTTTTCTTTTTTTATCTATATTTTAGTTGATCAATATAGAAAACGCACCTAAGGTCTTAACTCCTAACAGGGGACTTGCCGGGACACCGCACATTAGTAAAATACAACCGATAAATTAGATCCGTAGATAAGAGAAAAGAGCGCTTAAAATCCCCAAGACAAATTAAAAACTAGTATCGTGGGAGGGGGGGGGGGCGCTCACAGCCTCGAAATGCCCCCACGATATTACTGTAATTTTTCGGATTTATTTTAATATCTTTTTATTAAGCAACAGCTTTTGCATCCCTGAACGGCTCTTATACATAATTAGCAAAAAATATATCAAAAATAAAATATGCTTCTGAGGTCGGCGTTGTTTGTTTCTTAAAATTTACTTCATCTTTGCTGGTTATACATTTCGACATAGTCTTCATTTAATCTGAACTGTTTGCATTCAGGCATGTAGCCAGCAATTTCTTAAAGGGGATCCTTTTTCTAAAAAAAGTGGGCCTTCTATCATGAAACGTTCGTGATTGTGGTTGTAGAATAACATTTATTGAGGCGATGAATATGTAACATATACACTATCGGGGATAAAGATTGCAGTAGCAGTAGTAGTAGTAGTTAAAGTGGTTACAGTACAACATTTTTCATGGCTAGTCAATACTATAATAACCTGAATTATATCCGTGAATATCAAGTGGAAAAAAATTCCTGTCATCCTGGTAGATTGTAGTGATGGATGCTGAGAAATTATCCACACTACAATCAAATAATCTGTACACCTGTAGATTCTGTATTACGATAGGGTCTATTCCACCGTAATTTTCATCTTTCCCTTCCCCGCACAGGAGATAAAGCGACACAAGTGTAATTAACAGCCATATAACATGCTAGCGTCTTTTATTTGCAGTATAAGAAACTGCAGCTATTTTCCTAAATGTGCGTATTATATGTATCATTTTGACTAGCGTTACATTGTGTGGGTATTTTCTGTTGTTAGAAATATGATATGATATATTAGAAAAATTGTTCATTTTGGGAACTTCACTGAAAGTATATTTTTAATATTCAGAGTTATTTAAGAAATACATTTATTGCTTCTTGTGTTTAGACCACTTTTTTGAGTGAAATTTACATCATATGTGTTTCTATAACTCAACAATATTTTTAGAGATTAATTTAAATTGCTGCCGTGGTATCCGAAGAAAAGACCGAAGTTAAAGACGTAAAAGTCGTGTGGTAGAATTTGTTTTGCAAACTTTTTTAACAGGCGCAATACTTAATCAGTCGTACATTTTAATTAAGAGACAAAAGCAGACTTTGAACGTATATGTTTACCGAACCGTCCTTCAAATGCCGTGTCTTTAAACCATCAAATTTTTCTTTTGCATTAAATATATTGTATAAAGAATCTGATGCTTGTAAATCATTGATGAAATAATTGCATTAGCAACGTTGACACGGATCTACATACATACATACATACACACACAATAGTGAGCGACTTGCAGTATATTCTATATTGTTTTATATGCTTAATACAATTTTACGTACAACCACCCCCACCCAGTAATTTAGCCACAAACACACCACAGATTAATAACATGGAGATACCAGAGTTATTTGTTTACAATTATAATTTATTATTTGTATAAGACACCTGAATGAGTCACACATTCCAATATCACAAACTCGCACTGTGTATTTACTTACATGCAGGTTAAAATAAGAGTATGAAGATACAAATACTTGGACAAGCTAATACTGTACAAAATTTAGACCTTTTAGCTTGAACTTTTGCTTAATAAGTAAGTGCAGCACCTTAAAATTTTGTGATTTAAAATTTTTACCATATTTTTCATTTTCGTACAATCTACGGGAAAGCAAGATGGGAAAGTCATCAAGAAATAATAAGGAATATGATATTAAATATAAGTTTTTAGTGCACGACGAGAGAGAGAGAACAAACTTTAACGGCAAGGAATAATAAGGAATATGATAGTGAATATAAGTCTTAATACAAGTGGAGAGGGAGAGAGAGAGAGAACAAACTTTATCTGCAGTTTATATATAATCCAGGGGTATAATTTACAAGATGGATGACGGGGCGCAGCCAAATCAGATATACACTTGTCGTAAGGCGTTCCAGATGAGAGACGGGTAAGATGGCCCTAAGTACGTTAATTCTCCAACATAACGGGCACTGCGTCAGATAAAGGCCGGTATTTAGTTGATAATTGAGACACGGGAGTGGATTTCCTGCAGAGATAGTGCGACAATGAGGGGAGATGCCATCCCTGGGTTAGATAACGGGTACTTTTAACTTCTATTCTGTTGTTTTATCATTTTCCCGTCTGTAATCATGAAATTCTATATCTTAATTCGAACGCGTATGAAAAAAGAAAAAAAAACTCAAAACTTTTATCACATTTCCACAAGATATTGTACATGAAATAATCTATCCAATTAAAATGACTTTTACATGTTGCAAAAAGCACAGAAAAAAGCCCTGATCACTGGCAGCGTTTGACTTTAAACAGGAACGGCCCAGGAGTGTTTTATATGCTCTCTGCCGTCCAGATTCGACGGTGTCTGAATCCAATATTCATCAAGAAAACAACTGAGGTACAACAAAACCTAAATCATAATCGTCAGGAGAGACTTAAAATTAGCCTGCTGTAGCCCCGGTCTGCATCACTACGTGTTAGACCATTAGTCTCTCTATGACACACGTCACGCATACGGAGTTTATACTGCTCACATATTTTTATATAAAAAAACTATTACGATGATAAGAATATATTGTGCGTTGAGTGTCTTATAGTGCCGGTCTCGAACCTTCATGAAATTCACTTGTGAGACGTATATGTTTATTAAAAAAATAACAAAAGCCGACCCATCTCTCTCAGCGAAAACGCCAACTGCGATGCGTTTCTTCAAGTATATAAAGCTGTCATTTTTTTTGAGATTTTTTTCTGAAATTTCACAAGACAGTCCCTAATCTTAACCTGTGCTTCTTCTTCAAGTGAGTGTCAAGACATCTTTTCTGCAACGTTAAGTGTTTCCAAAATGTACCCCAGACGTCATTAATGCATGTATGTTTAAGACAGCATGAAGCGTAAAATGAACACCTGGTTCAAGCCACTTCAAGATTAAGCAAAAAGAATTTTAAAAAGCATCCAACCAATATAGAGATAAAAAGCACGATGAGAAACAGGGACCCCGTCTCTGTCTTCTTTGTATGACACCACTAGGATCTCATTGCCTCTGTATAAAATCTTATCGAAAGTAAATTAAACAGCACAATGTATTGGTATCCATGTTTCACGGCTGGTTTTAAGTCTGGTCGGAGAGTGACGCTGGTGACGGTTTAACAAGCTCTGGGATGGAAACCTTCGCAAAGGGCAGTTTGTCATAGCCTGACCTGAGCGAAACAGGTTCCCAAACCAGGAGACTTGACATGTTTTTCTTTCCCTCGGATCTCATCTTTCCCTGTTGCAGCGCGCTATTCTTCAAGTGCTTGTTTCATCTACGTGTCATAGCGTGGAAGTGAGCAAGTCATTGCCCTCTGGGGGAGGGAACAGCAATGACGAAAACCACCACAAAATATCACCCATTTCGCAACTTCGTGGTTGCCTACGTAACGGTTGTCGCGGTAACGGTTGCCAAAGTTACGCTTAGTGCCCTGCCGGTTGAGTCACCCTGCATACGCATCGATGTCTTCTCGGGTAGCCTTGCACAGTGGCCTTGCAATCAGCCGCCAGTGTGCCCATTTGTGCGTCCACTATCACTACTACCATTCCTACTACCTCAGCAACAGACGCTGTCCACTGCTGTGTCCAGTCAGGCCAACTGACCACAGCTCAACTCACACCACTGCGTCCCAGACCCCGGCCTTTATACCATCGCAATGCGGTCACCAGGTGTGGGAACAGCTCCCTCCTCACGCGACGACTATCCTTCCTTGAGAACCCGCCATTCCGTTGATCTTCAGCCGGTATCTCACTCCCCATCGCTGTAATTATATTTTGCATACAGACCTCTGATACCGAACCCCGCCTCCTATCCTATCACGCACCCTGGGTTCCAGGTGTCATTAGAAGCTCTACTCTCCACTATCAGCATGCCCATACCGTTTCCAGTACTATAGTAAAGAGGCGGTTTGCGTGTGACCTTTGAAACTCAGGGTACTCCCATAATCCTTTGCAGTCCATATTTTCACGCCGCGGTGACCAAAATGGCCCCTAGACGTCCCATCCTGGTCCCCATCATCATCATCAGCTTCATCTCGGTGAGAGTGGACACCGTATCGGACAGCGATCTCGGTCGCAGATAAAACAAGGGAGACCCGCCAATTAACGGATCTTCGAGTTCTAACGGTTTGGGTTTAACGGTCGTCGTTCCCACCCTGTCAAGGTACCGATTTCTCACGTTCTGGAGGACGCACTGTAACGGTCTGGCGTGTTAGAAATTCTGCGGTGGATGACGCGGGTTCTTTCTCACCAAATGTATGAGAACTTGAAGGATCCACCAGGATATCAATTAGATTAGGGGTGGGATCATGAAGATTCCATCCTCCATTCGCCCCAATCCTAATTATTACTTTTAGTCCACGAAAAACGGTTCCATAATTCTTCATTATTAAGCGACATGATATAGTAATGCTGTTCACAGTAGAAAATTCCCAAGTATAATGCTATTCTTACAGTTTCTTTTTGGTTGTAATTAGATAAAATATCTAAAGGGAATGCAGGTCAAGATAATGATTATTCTTTGCGATTAAAATAATATTATTATTAGCCATCATCTGGAGTGAAAGATCCAAGCGCCATTTTGCTTCTCAAACAGATAAAATGACATGAATCAGCGGATATAAACAAGATTTACCACACAACCACAATAAGGATCCTGTTCTTGCTTTTGGTGGCTAATTATTACGATGTATTACGTGGTATCGTTGCGCTGTAGATTTATCAAACGGAAGAGGATGTTGTATTCATGTCAAAGTGTACTTCATCAATTTTGAAAATAAATAATTAAAATGAACATCTAAAGCAACACTATCTTCATAAGGGGACTATTAAGATATCACGGATTCCGATAAAATCAGTGGGGAGACGTTACCAATCATTTCGCAAAGAAAACGCTCTTGGCAACAGCACGATTCTACATCGCGATAACGAGATGGAATTTTTATTGACAGTATTTTTTTTTCAGATTTGAAGGAACTCAGTTTCTGTCTTTCTTGACAGATGTAAAAGGTATATGATTGATAACTTGATTATTATTCCAATTCTTACATCTTAAAGCATGAAAACATTCTGGACACCCTGGCATCTTTCGTGAAAAGAAGTACTAATAGAGAAAAAAAGATAACATCAAGATGTTTCGCTTATCGCTTTCTATACATATCGTTCTATCACTAAACATGGACTTGGTCGGAAGTCACCCTCAAGTTCAAAGTACTGATCGCATCTCTCTCTCTCTCTCTCTCTCTCTTCCTGTCTCTGTCCCATCATGCCTAGCGCTGACACCGGACATAAGACGTAACCGCCGAACACAGGAAGAGGCGACTGATAACGCATTATCGGCACCACGTTATAAGATGATTTTCGATGATAGAGTCTCTGGTTTGTTAACAATGCACCTATTGTTAATGTCACTGTCAGATTTGATTGCTAAGATAGCACAGTGAACCAGAGAGGAAAAAGTCCTATTCCGGTTCCTTTGTGGGCTTTTTCCGAGAACAGGCTATATAGGTTGATTTTCTGAAAATTTATTTTTTCTCTTTATCCTTTTTCAAAAAGAAATTAACACTATTTTGTTTTTAACTGTATAATTTTTCCAAGAACAAAGAATTAGATGTCTGACAACAATAAAAAAAAACTAATATGAAATAGGACATTTTTTAATAATGAAAGTAAATGACGTGCGCCTGTTTAATTATTTTTTTCTACCTTTTTCTTTAAGATTAAGATAAAATTAAGTAAAACCATATTGTCATCACTATTCAACTTATAATATGATGATATATAATGATTTTGATAAAACTGAAATAAAATGGAATAACATTAAAAGACGACGTAGACGCTTTATTGGCGAAAAGGGTTCCGATTGATTAAATGAATATTTGTTTTTCATTCCCTTACCTTAAAAATGCAACGGCAAACACCGTTGTTTTAATAACCTTATTTCCGTTACTTTGTAGAAATTTCTGTTTATCAGAGGGTTTTATAACTTTTGTCCGTCTGTCAAAATTCCTTTTATAAATAGTCTCGTATTTTTCGGTAAACAGTTTAGAATAATATTTTGTTCCAAGAATCCAATCAACTACATTAAAATGTATTGTTGAAAGCCACAATTCCCGTACTATAGATTAAATTTTACAGTTTTGAATCAATGACTACAGTATCAAAATTAATATTGCCTTTCCGTAAAGAGCAACCACGAAAAATAACTCAGTGCCCATATCTGATGTTAACCAGCTTGTCAATTTTTAAAATGCAATGTTTTTTGCCGGCAAATAAGCACTTAAATTTCAATTTCATTCATACGACCTAAATAGTCTTTCAGAATGTAAAACACCAGTCAGTGGTTTATTGCTTGTCGCTAATGACTATGATTAGTTGCTTTTATCTTGGCCATCAAGAAGCAAACAGCTCCCCCTATCTGATTGCTGGGCATAGTAAACATACATTATCATTAATTAGCATACATTGAGCCGTTTCCTTTTGAAGGGTGAGTTTACGTCATCGTGTTACCTAGTACAAATGAATTAAAATTATATAGTTCCTAACTGAATAAGAAAAACTTATTGCTTTATTATATGAAAAAATAATAAATGCTAGACGGGCGAACGTGAAAACATTTTAAAAGTTAATAGTATTCTATATGCATTATATTATTTTGTTATTATTTGAAGAGAATTTTTATCTGAACAGTTTTGTATAGAGAGCACAAATTCTTCCTAACGTGCGTATGATAAATTGAAAAAAGAAAAAAAACAGTACCCTTATTTGAATATGCATGCCAAACAGTGGCACAGCAAATGCGCTGCTCAAACATAATCAGTAACCATTTCTCTATTTTTCTTACAAATGAAAAGTTTGGCTGAAATGCAAATTCTGTAAGATATGCACCTAACTTGACGCTGCTGGTATTATATGGTATATTGACAAGCTTTCGTTTTTCGCAACGCGTTGTAAACACTACGTCTTGCTACTTTGTGAATATAAGAATAAGCGGATAATTAAGCGGATAATTCGCCAAATTTGAAAGTATTGAAACAAAAATAAGACCATTTTCGCTGTGAAGTATAAGTATGGTGCAGTTGGACATTTTTATTCTTTGTTGTTGTTTCTTTTTTTTTTTTTTTACTATTTACTTCTATCTGTTGAACTGTTTATTTATTTATCCATTTATTTATCTAGCTATTTTCGCTATAAATTTTGCTTTTAAAACAAACTGAATGACTTGGTTTACGGACTTCCAGATAAGCAAATTTAATCATTGCTTGTTTCACCAAAGCTCTGCTAATCTCAAATCCCATCGTATGTAATTATTGAGCGCATCTACCACAATGACAGGGAACATCTAACACAATTGCTTGGCACATCTACCACAACCACACTACCTTCCTGCGTAATCTACCAGCTAACAAATACATTTTCAATAATATCTAAGCTCTTATACTGGATCATCTCACGCAATTTAGATCACAATTAACACAATCTTTTGGAACACCAAACACAATCTGCTAGGAGCTTCAAAAGGGACAAGCTGAAAAGCCAAACACAACAAACTATACGTTAAACGGACTTACCTATACAAATAGTCTGAGCTACGTCCTGCGTGAAACCAGCAACAGCTAAAGCGTTAAAATCGTCCGCTTGAAAGAGATAATCCGGTCTTGTCGCCATGTCCTGCATCTGTTGGTTGATATTGGGATTGGAGGCAAGGTCCGTACCGACGTAGATGGCGAATGTCGTGACGTTTGCGGCGCGTAGAGCGTTAGCAGCGTCGCGCACTGTGCCGTCAGTGTCAATGTTTTGAACACCATCTATAAAAATAGAATAAAATGGATGATGGAGGAATATATTATTAAAATTTGACTTTCAAAAATTCAAATGAAAAAACACTCCTTTATTCAGAAGGAACTTTATAAGGGCTTTATTAAAGTCAAAACAGAAACATTTCACGTTTTGAAAGCAATTTTCTTTTTTTTTTCTCTTATTATAAAATTCGCTATTAAAGTATTTCGTTATTTTATCCCCAAAAACTTTTGGAAATCACTTAGAGATGTTTAAAGAAGAGTCAATATTTTGCGCTCAATATCAGGTATCCACCTTCGGTATTTATTTTTCTCAATCGGTCGTCGAATCGACAAGTCATCGTGCACCTTCAAATTGCAAGATACTTGTCCCCATAATAATAGAAATATAACAATTAAATGTTTTTATTTTCAGTAGAATTCTCAAAAAAAAGTATTTGGTTAAATAATAATTTAAAAGCGCACCTGTTAATGTAATAGCGATCTTGACGGCGTTATCACGTGCTCCTGCAGACACACTCGTCATCAAGTCACGTGCACGAAGTAGAGCGCCGGCGATGTTCGTGCTGCCGCCTAGCGGCTCGATATTGCGAAGGGCGGTCTGCACCTCCGCCGCGGTGCTATACTGGACCAGGTTAAACTGGTTCCTGGGCCTGGTGTCGAAGCTGATGGCCGCGAACTGAGTGTCCTGTGGGGACACCGTGAACTGCTGGACGATCTGCTGGGCGAAACTGACCACACGAGCCCAGTCCTGCTGGTTCATGGAGCCAGACGCGTCCAGAACGAAAACAATGTCGGCTTCTGTGGCACATATCTCTGGAAAAAAAAAGGAAATTAAAATTTCAATAGGATTTTATTAAAACTTTATTGGTTTGATAATTCGAAAAAGGAACGTTTCATGTTTTGAAGTCAGTTTGCTCTTCCGCTCTTCTCATAAAATAATAAAACTTCATTTTCTGTCGGAGAATGCGTTCTTCAGAACGCGTAACATAAAAGATAAAAGATGTAGGGCCTACCATAACTGGCATTTTACCACAATTGATACAACACTCTACAGGTCAAATATTTCATATGGTCAAATGAAAAAAAAGGGGGTAATATGGTTAGGCTGAGCACACTTGATTACAATAATCTTGCATTCATGATAAAAATATGCTACAGTTCTAAGTTCCAAGCAATCTCCAGAAGGCATATTCTGATATGTCCTGAGTTCGTGGTATTCCACATTTGAATCTCGAGCAGTACGCTTTATTTTGGGGAGAGTTTCTGACCATTATACTGGAGAACGTGTTCTTAAAATCAGATTTTACCGCAGTCGTCGCATGCCACTGTCTTAATAGGTAGGCCTACCTTGAAGGTATTTTAATACTATATTCAAATATAAGATATTTCGGCAGAGGACATGACAGTCCTTTTTTTACATAGTTGAACTAAGTGCGACTTATAATTATTGGACACAATTTATTTAGATAAAAATCATGCAACAGAACGGGTCCTTCTTGGAAAATATTACCCAACGTCTCTCGCTATCCCCCCACCCCCCACCCCCACCCCATCTTCCAAACCTCAAACCGTCACACAAAAAGTGCCTCACCGCTGTTTATTATTATATAACTGTAGAAGTAACGGAGAAATATATCAAATGCGTTCAAAACTGGCGTTAATCTTAATTAAGTCACAGAGCGACTAGATTACGTACGAACCCTCGCATATTCACCCATCACTGTACTATATCTCTAAATAAATGCAAACTGGTAGTTCATTGAAGGCAGGATGAATTAAACAAATTGTTGGTTGTGATTTTAAAAGCATAATAACGATAATGATTAATTCAGTTATGGAGTCATCTTACTTTAACTGGTATTTTATCTACTGCCCCCCCCCCCCAAAACACACACACACACACACACACAGGCGCCAAATCTTAAAGAAATAACAACTCTTCGTATGAGATTCATATTTCGCAATAAAAACATTGCAAACAACTCTTAAATAAATAAATAAATAAATTATCTTTTACCACCAAAACGGCGGTTATCGCAATAATTCTGGAATTACGGACCCCGTGACCTCCATAGATGGCTATAGCCTATAATAATTTCTTAAGAGATTACAAAAAAATAAAACAAACTTTAAAAAACATGGACTAATCTTGAATGTTAGGACGGACTCATTTACCATTGGAAAGTTTGAGGAAATTGTCGTTTACCCCAGAAAAATCCATGTTTGTCCAAAATTAAAAGTTGCCATCCCTTAATGTAATGGAAATATGGCCAGTTATAAGTAATGATCGTAGCAAAGACGGTGAATTATGGCGGCAGCGTTATCGTGATGGTGATAAAAGTAACACGCATTGATGTTGTTGTTGTTACGCTCTAGAAGACTTGATTACATATCAGATGTGCGAGGCAGTACGCTGTTCCTGAAGATTTGATGTGGTGTGGTGTGTATGTATATATACATATACAAAAAATTGTGAAAAAAAACATGGTGCACCCGCCCTCCTTTTCACATAAAGCAGGATTTTTTTCGCATCAGACATCATCAACACAAGATAAATTAATGGGCGTTGAACAAATGAAGAAAGGAAAACATAACGACCCTTAAGTCCCCATTTTACCCATCAAAATTATATGACTGAGAATATTCGCTGAAATAACTGGACTTGAAAACAAGTTGTGTAAAAATAAAACTTGTGGTAAATCATAAACATTTCTGCGAAATCTGATTAAGATTTGGTCCCGCAAATTCTACCCTTTCATGAATTAATTCAGACCCTTAAACCTTTATGCTATAAATTAGACTTGTTTGCAGGGATCATAAATTTGTAACGACATAAAAATAGGGTGTTTACTTGGAGAACAAGAATATGGGCAACCCCAGTTATTTAGCCCCATTAAATATGGCCATCAATGGCAATTTCGAACATTGTTTTTATTGTATCTTATGCATGACAACTTCTAAGTCACCATATCTGTATATTAGGGAAGTTCCAAAACAGGTCTATGTTCTTTACCAATTCCCCTTGTGCGCAAGAGCTCAACCATCTTTGCTGTCTCATAAATGCGCAGAGAGAAAGAATGTCTTTTGAACTGTTTTCACAAATTTTGATAAAGTTAACGAAAATTCATTGTTTTGATTTAAGGGATCAATTGGGTTATTTACGAGTTAATCAGATATTTCTTTTATATTCTCTTATATTCTCGCGAGACTTAGCTTTCCATGTAGACTTACCTGGAGTCTGTGCGTCAGATCCCGGGGTAAATAACCCCAGGAGTATCACCAAGGCGATAAATATATCCATTATAGCGTCATGGAGGCCGTAAGCGAAACCTGTAATTAAAAGAAAGAAACCTTTTCAAGTATTTTCGTCCAGATTTTTAAGTTTTTCATATCGTTAATTCCTATAGCTTTTCATATATTAAAATTTTATATTGCTCGTATCATATGTCAATATTAGGCACATTGAACGACAAGTGCTTGATTACATGTAAAACCTATTGAAAACCAATCGACTGTACCCTTCCCAAAGTGTTGCATTTCATAAATTGTATATATAGAATATTTTTAACAAATGAAACTTATTAGTAAACATGACAATCATATGTTCAGTATACTTGAATTAATTTCAATAAATATATATTATTGCCCATTCTTCATTTATCTATACATTCCATGTAGCTATTGATTAATTTTTTTAGTTCTTATCTATTTATTGATCTTCTTTTTATTCATTTACGTACGGTTCTGTTTAAGTAGGGCATCATCTTCGCCTTTCATAACCATAAATAGATAACTTTGATAGGGATAAAAGAAATAAAAATTTTCGCCCATTTGCTCGAGATAAGAAAAATTGATTTCCAAAGCCAAACTGTCTATAGAATATTTTTGTATCTTATTAGTTATTGATGGTTTATTTTGATATATCAGAGCGGAGGCAGGAATACATAATAAAAACTTCGACTTCCTGGTGCAGGAGCACGTGTTAGAGTTTAAATATCTACAAGAGAGATTACTTTCTAACTGGATATTTTAAGTTTTATTAACAGTGGCTCTAGTGTCTTTTGCTGGCACCTTTGTGCAATAAAGTTTTGATTAATCGTAAAAACGATTATTATTTCTTGTTACTAGATACGAAAGCCCTTTGTATTGTAGAATGACATTAAAACAGAAGATTATAAAACTATTAAAGCTACATGCTCCGTAAGGATACATTTTATAACTGTCTAACATTAATTAAGTAAAGTAATTTTTTTTATAAGTTTACAATATATTTTGTATATCATATAAGTATGTTTATGCAAATTCAAAATCTTGCTCATCGGACCATTAGCATGTTACTAACGATTTGAGAGGCACTTAACCAAACAAAGGCAACAAATTAACACTGAGATCGTCTCCATAAATCCTTGTATAGGAACGTTGAACATTTTTCTTAAACTTAACTAGACATGAGAATAAAAAATATCACTTTCGCAACAAGTTAGGCCCTACTAAATATATCGGGTACATTAAAAAAATTAGGGTAGCTTTCTTACCTTTTCTTCTGTTCTCTCGTAGATTTCTTATGAGACTTTCTCCAAGGTACATCCCATACGTAAATTTCAATTGTGAAGTCTACCAAGATGGAAGTTTATCTCCTTGGAGCTGCTCCCCTTGGGCTTAAGCTTCTAAATCCCCGCTTCTGGTGGAGTCACAATGAATATGAAAGCGCTTGGGTTGCGTAAAACGAGATTTCATAACCACAAAACGCGGAAAACACGACCTCAAAGAGCAGGCCAGTTATGGCACTCTGAAAACCGTGAGTCACAGCTTCCCCAGATTACAGCAACGACAAGATATTTCAGAATGAACTGTATTTTTGACATTCACGGCGCGTGGACCGTGACTCCTGTGCACGTGTTATTATCTCGCGCACCACGGCATGGTGACCTTTCAACAGCACTGTCGTGAGCGCCATGAAACCGTTACAGGCATGCCGGACACCAATTACACACCCAATCATAAACCAATAAAAGTGCGATTGAGAATTCCTCTCATTAAAATCACTGGAGTTTGTCCAGAAAAGACATGCCGTCCTAATAACCTCTACGTATGAGTTGTGTCGCAGTCACGTATTTTGTTATCGCGGTGACGTTTTGCAAGACTTGCTGGGAGTTATGTTGACTTAATTAAGGCTGGTCTATGGAGTAAAATTAGTCAGATTAAGATTTAACCGAGGTCTAGGCGTCAGGATGCCAATCCAATAACTGACACACATATAATTATCAAATTGATTTGAATTAAGCATGGGCATTTCCTAATTTGTGTTGGAGAAAAGCAATACCTTAAAGTTTGACCCTTGAGAGTTAAAAAGAATAGAATCTTCAATAGGCTATAAGAATTTAACTGCATATGCGAATGGTGCGTACGAAAAGTGAGACAAGCAAATAATATTACACTATTATTCACAATTCACATAATGTCCATTTTTTAAAAAATAATAGATTAACAAAAAAATAAAAAGAAATGACCCATGAGCAATGAAGAATTTATTACATACACATTCAATTCATGAAAAAAAAAGTTATCTGAAACGCTAAAAAAACGTGCATGCTTAATAATTGAATGCAAACCATATTTGACAAAAATAAACGCAACACAATATGAGTATCAATATAGTTCTGGACGACTTTGAAGAAAAAATTAGAAAAACTCAAACTATGACCCTAACGATGCCCTCCCGCCATCAATTAATCTAGGTGTTAATCACGCGTTCATCTTAACCACCCAGCCATTATAACGGGACCACCCGTCCTTGTCCACATCTTGTCTGGCCACAGCCACGTTTTAATTACAGGTGATTAAAGAGTGACCGGAGGTCAGGTAAGAAAAGTCTTAGTCGTTAGTCCTTTAGGGCAGTCTGGCTTTTGTTTCAAAGAGTGTTGAATATTTGCTGCGGTGTAGATTTTTTCAGAACATGGAAGTGACAAGTGCAAGGCGTTGTGAACATCACTAATACAATATTGACAGTGCTGTATATCTTTAAAAATTAAAAAATAAATATAGTATTAGTTATGTCACTTTGTTCAACGTTTTTGCTGTTAACTCTGACAATCAGAGACTTTCTTGTCTTGGTGTAATATTTCCTAAGGGGTGACGCAGGGTTAAGGTAGCACCCCCATGACTGAACTGCAACTGACCCGTGCACGGTGCCCCCTGTAAATTCCTTACCAATTAAAGGTCGCCGTAAAAATACAAGTGTGGGGCCTTTAATAAAACTTGTCCTAAGTGACAGTTAACTCTCATTAAGGAAGATCAACCGAAAATATTCCCCAATTTGCACCAAATATCCTTGTTATAAAATAGGCAGGTTGTATAAGTGTGTTATAAAATTTAGATTCTATATTTGAATATAAACGCAATTCGGTTTGATATCATCTTTGTGGTACAATATAAAAAGAGTTAAGGTGTGTTTTTCTGGGTGTAGATAGTAAACATTAAGAGAGTCGGATGCCTTTTAACCAACGGTTTTGTACACACTCTTTCGATTGATTTCTGTACGCATACGAATTCGCCTTCTTCACTTTATAACTAAGGGCGTGTGATATATGGATTTATTATTCATAAAAAATATTCCAGAAATATTTTTATGTTATAATTACTATTATTAGAAAAAAACAGAAATTTATTTCAGTCGACGACAGACGTGCTTGCAAAAAAAAAAAAAAAAAAAAAAAAAGGCGTCACTGCCATTTTTCAATTTTTTTCCAGGGAAAAAAACCTAAAAATAGAGAAGGTAATTTATCATATATTGCAAAATCACAATAAAGGGATTTCACAGGGCGTTTCGGGGACGCATGACGAACAGCACCTAAATCATGTCAGTGATCAGCGGGCGGCTGCGCGTTTCTGTTTGATCACGTGACGCTACAAGTGGCATGTTGCTGGAAACGAGTACGTCGCCTGCGTTTTTCACCTTTCTAATATCGTTTTAATCGTAGTGTGATGTTATCTGAATTCCCCTCCGTGCTGGTCGGGCGATGCCATTTATCTTGTCATGTTTTGTCACACTCACATATATAATGTCGTATTCTAGACGACACAGAACTCGGCGAATTTCCAAAACATGTTAATCCTCGGTTAATCAACGAGATTTCTTGAAGATAGAAATATCAGTGGTTATTCGAAAAAGAGGTCCCTATCCGGTAAGATGGGTGGAAACCTTGCGGGTCTTCACTAGTA